GTCTGGGGAGGAAGATAGGGACTGTTAGAATCTTACTAACTAAAGCCCATATTTTAAAGATTTTCCTTGTGAAATTAGGGCAATTATAGGCTGTTGTTTGTTTGTATCATATTTTAATTGCGACGTCAAATAAGAACAGCCTTGTGGTTAAAGGAGACCCAAGATTTGATGCTTGTTACCGCTAGTTCAAAGTCGTATTGTTGTTACATCAAACGCTGTCTCGAGCATGACTTGTGAAATTACACCACGTTTGAAACATAAAATAGAACTCGTTATATCGAATTTTAATTATCTCATAAGACTGCCTCGTTGGCCAAGTGGTTGCAAGTGCGACTGCCGAGCAAGGGGTCTCTGGTTCGATTCCCGGGTCAGGCAAAGTATTACTGGGTTTTTAATTCTCAGTAGTAGCACGGAGTCTGGAATTGTGCCCGGTATATGACAATAGGCTCACCCCCTATTACATGGGACTGGGTGAAAAGTGGGTGTTACATTATACAGTGGCATAATGTACACCTCTGCCTACCCCTTCAGGGATAAAAGGCGTGATGTTCTGTATTATGTATGTACTTAGAACATTTTAATTTCAACTAAAGTTTAACTTATAACTCACTATCTAGGTTCGGCTATTAAACGTACAGTCTCTACAATTCCATTTCTCCATCCGCTTCAGTAACGTAAATTTGACTAACGACTTATGGAATTTACAATTAAAACTCCAAAATGACTCTTATGTTCACCTCGATAAAGTTCACTCAATGAACTAAGGGCTTCATTCGTCTGGCAAATTAATTACTGGATAAGGACACTAGAGACTGTGAGGCGAATTTCCAAGAAGTTTCCGAATGAATGTGGTTAATTTAACGGTTCTTCTTAACAGTTACACAATCTTGCAAACATTTGTCTGAAGAAGGATTATGAAAACAAACTTGTGAAATGTTTCAGGGAGAACTTGATCCCCGAGTGACGCGGATCTATTGTTCCCCCTTTAATATTTACCTCTAAGTTGAATGCTCTTCTTTGATGTCCATTTTGAATGTTTAATACTAGTTATGGCAAGAGCGATCGTGTTCGTGCTCTTCGTTTCCCATGTAGGCCAGGAGTACCACGGGCGCTGAGGTCAACGACCGCCCCCTCCTCTCCGCGACAACTCTAGACCCTGCACTACTACATTTCTCCACTCAGGCGCACTGCAAGTTATCTACTTAAGTAGTTCTACCAGATCCAAAGTAATTAGTTTTATCCGACGATTTGAATTAGAAATCTTTACAAACAGTTATTTTATGTCGTTTTAAGATGAATTGATTGTTGTTGTAATGTGTGAACTCCGCTTGAATAGTCAGAGAAAGTAACGTTCACGGTATATGTGTACATTTTACCGAGCGTTTGCGTATGCGTCGAGTTTCAAAACCCGCCGTACAGCACGTGTACGCCTTTAGCTGTATTAGCAATTTGGCTTTGGAATCCCATTGTCGGTTAATAGCACAGTACTCAATTTTAGTTGGTTTTCGTTCGGGTACTTATACCTTGTAATTATGGTAAGTTTGTCGGCAAATTATGCGGTTTTATGAGATGCTCGGCAACTCGGTTCTGGCCGACTGACGAAGTTATAAGTTACGCGGTCACAGATCGTGATCGAGGTTAATCGAGTTATCTCAAAGATTGGCCGGCACGGGCTGCACCGACGACGTGACCAAACGATTGGTCATTTCCTCCTTAATTGGAGTTGCGATTTTTATAGAAGGGTTCTACTCGAGCGTTGATCGTGAAAAAATATGGAACGAGTGAGATAACACTCAACCGGGAGACGTTTCTTCTCGTATTTGGTGTGCGATAAAGCTATATTGATAGTACAAACGAGCAACCTCATTTACGGCCACAAACGAGGGCCGCACACGGCCTCAACATTCGAGTCACGTCTGATACATGTTTTTACAACAAAATAAAGACGTATGTAGCTGTATAGTGCGACATGAAAAAGCTCGAGGCTGCAAGATAGCATGACTACCTGCATTTCCACCACTTTCTCGACTGACCTATCACGAGTCTGGTCATTGCGATTTACGGCCATTGCAAATCACCTGCCGATAATTTCGCGAACAAATTCCATTCGCATTTTGCGTTCAACTACGTACAAAGAGATAAAGTTTTTATTTTATTGTTAGCACTCAAAACTACTGCTTCATTTGAATTGTTCTAGCTTTTTATGTAGAATTAATGTTTCAATTCTTTGAAGAAAGTTTCGTAATAAAAGTAGTGAGCATTATTTCAGAGCGAACAAGTTTAAACTCATTTAGAGACAGACAATAGTGATAGAACAAAAGGTGTACAACTTCTCAAATGGTACCTTTTAAGGTATTATTTTGGAATAGAGAAGTTTGTATGAAAACGAAGTAGAAAATACAGCGTCATTGCCTTTTGGATTACATTACATAAGCCACACGTTGCTTCTTTCTACAACGTTTCTATTCTGAATGCAGTCGTTCACAGAGAAAGCTCATATTGTGTTACAAAGTACTCGGAGCTAAGGTACGGAGAGACGTAACCATCTGTGGCGTGTGTCTTATTTGCAAGGTTCTATTTTAAACTATATCCATCTAAATTGTATTAGATGAGCAGGATAGGTACTAAAATTATTGTTCTTAAGGTTATTTTCTTTCTTGATCACTTTGACTGGATTTTGGTGTTACATTGTTCTCGCACAATCCAAACAGCAAAACTATGTAACTAGTAAATTGTATTGTGAACCTGATTGAAAAAGAGTAACCTATGGAGTTTCTTGCTTGTTCTTCTCCATAGGAATCTACACCTTGGAATGAGCAAATTGCTTCACTTTTAATATTATTTTTATTTTGACGTTCAAAAGTGCCATTCTGGCCTAATTGAAATAAATGATTTTGACTTTGACTTTGAAATGAGGTTGTTTCGATAACTGCCAAGTCAAAACCCTACACATTAGTTGTGCCACAGACAGATTTACGGTAAGCTTGGGCAATACGCCAATGTGTGCTCGAACAAAACCATTATAGTATGTCAACATACAATCAGAGCCTTCAATGCAAGTATAGAAGGTAGGACACCAGTTACTTCTGCATTTTACGCAACTTTCACTTGTCTGTAACTAGGTAATACTGACATACATCATCTTATATCTGATGCGATCTGTACAATCTGCGAACATCACTCAACCAAATTTCGATTCCGAAAAACAAAAAGAAACTCCCAATCTAATCTGAATTGAAACAAATATTGAAGCAATCCAATCTCACTTTCATGCAAAATAGAATTTAACCGTCCTATTTCCACGAAAAGAATGCGCAAAAAGGGATCGTAAAGGAATTTTCTACTTCTGAGGGTTCCATCAAGCATTTTTAATCAACTTAATTTTGGCATACGGGGCCAGCTAAATAAAGGAATATAAGTCGACGCTGTCATTTGTGTCGGCCTGCTAATCCTTTATCAGTACTTGCTATACAGGTTTCTGTTTATTTTCGTTACGTAAATCCTGTTGACGAACCCGTCTAATGCCGGGCATTTATTTGTACATCAGGTTGGGTCTGTTCCATGGTCTGTTTAAACAATAAAATGGTCAGCTATCACAAAGTTTTGCGTTTTAAATTATTAAGTAATTTATGGACAAATCCCATCCACAAATATTAGCCATGGAAAAGCCATATTTCATCTTTAAAGTTCTAAATAGGTCACAAAAGGTTTACGCAAAGGCTTACTGACCTGTGCCTGAGTAAAGGGTATTTATTTATAATATTGTTACACGGACACCTGCGTCACAGCGACCTTAACACGACAATACGTGACAAAATTATTTCCACATCTGTTGTTGCTATTCGGACAATATCTACACGCAAAAGAAAAATAGAGGAGCGAGGATAAGTGGATACAATTTCAAATAACTCAATGTTGGTCGGTTAGCTAGGGGATATGAAAAATCGTAACATTTTCCAAGCGCCGCTCCGGCACGTTTCTTGCGGACAGTTATTACTTGTTTTCTGCAACTTACGAAGACAGATGCAAGGAGATATCTCACATATACTATATAGGTACTATGTATTGGAAAGGGTGATATTTAGAGTAGTATACTATTTTACGTATATCGTATCGTATATCAACAGTACCTTATAAGTATGTAACATCCAGTAAATTGATTTTGCACGAATTCCTTGTTGGTCTTTTTAAAACAAATTATAGCAGGTTATTTGAGAAAAAGCTTAATAAATGTAGTGTAGCATGATGCATGACGCGGCGGGCATCCGGCGTTGTCGCGCGAATGATCTCACGCTACCCGACACCCTTGTGTGGTCCGGAGGACTCAACTTTGCATACATGTAACTACGTCAGCCAGCTCAGTATCAATGGAGCTGTGGTTTCCTGTCTACTAACCTGCTTTGACTTAGCCGAGTATTGAATGAGATTGCTTTCATCGGTCTGACTAAGTTTGATAACGCCCGACCTGCCTCAAACGTTACCTAGCACTAGTCTATTCAATTCAACCGTTTTATCTCCTGCGGTTTTAGCTTGAGCGGTTCATAAGTTCATAACTTTATCGATCCCTATATCGAGGAAGGATGTTTGGCTGTCGCTCGAATTAATTGAAACATTTACGCTGATACGCAAACGACAGTTGTTTGCGATGCCGAAGTTTGGAAGTTTGTTCAAATTCGGGTAAAGTTGGTTGCGAATTTGCGATGTTCAGCTGGTAAATAAATGTTAAATATTTATCATCTCGTTTATTAGTAAAAGTGCTGAGTGGATTTAAGATTAGGGTTATTTATTTATAAAAGCATACCTACTTAAAAATTTACTTCATTACAAAACACGGTTTAAAATTATTTTCAACGGATTACTCCCGTGGCGTCATGGCGTCAAACTGCCTTATCGCACATTTCAAGTTAATGACTATATTAAAGCCCAACTGTGGCTTTCGTTTATAAATTCCTCAACTTTCGTCGGTCAGCAAATAATAAAATCTTTTTCTCCTTTTACAGTCAACGCAGTCGTTCGTACGAGTCGGATGACCATGAGAGGGGGGCGTGCGAATGGTGCGAGTACGCCCTGGTCATCACGCTTGCGACCATTCTCCTGATTGGCGTGTCAGCCCTGACTGTCTTCTGGGTCTTCTACTACCGCGAGGGATATGCCTGGGCTGATGATCTGCCCGACAAGCAGTTCAACCTGCACCCTACGCTTATGGTGGCTGGATTTATCACCTTCAGCGGTTTCTGTGAGTATTTGGTACTTTTTTGTTAAATTGTTGCGTCGTTATGGACGCTGGTGTGGGTGTTTTATTTTTTTATTTTTTTAAGGGGGGAAAATCATCGAATGATTGCTCCCGCCTGGGTGAGGCGGGAGGAAGTGTCAGACTCTTACTGACTAAAAACCACCCCGTTTCTTCTCCTGCGCTTTGAGCCGGAGCCCCGGTAACCCGTTAGGTTCTCCGCGACATAGACGCTGGTGTAGCGTTATGTCTTTACTTGTCTTTAGTATGACATGGTTAACATTGAGCGCCAGTGAACTGATGATAACTTATACATTATGCCTTTAGTAACTGAACTTAAGAATGTGCGATCCAAAACATAAAGTATAACACTTTATACCTAAAAATGCTCTGTATAGTACCTACCTAACAATCTCTAAACCACATTGAAGGGTTTAAATCAAGTCATGTCCTACAACTATCTTAAGAAAACTTACAAAATGAAGCAAGTTATCTATAAAGATGGGAATATAAAGTCTCGTTATAGTTGAATTCGAAAACCTTCTGCTAAAAAGGTTTTATAGTCAGATTTTTCTAAGAGAAAAATGTAAAGGATGGCTCCGAGCATTTTGCTGATAGAACGCAACAGCAGGGATATTACAGTATCTATTCTTGCTGTTGAAAATATCAGTACGGATTTCATATTTTACTGAAGTGGTTTTCTTGAATGCAGGATTTCTTTAGACTTAGAGAAGTTTAGATACGTAGGTAGGTAGACTTTATCATCATTTGGCTTTATTTTTGTTTAATCACTCAAATGAATGGACATTACCTATGCTTGAAAGTGTTTTAACATTTATATTGATGAATAAAAGAGGAATAAAAAAAAGATAATTCTTCATTAACAATGTTAATCGCCATTCATATTGAGACTGTTCCACAGGATATGACCTACTTTATAAATAGTCAGGACGCGTGCGAAATTAACACTTCAATCCAGTTCTTATTGTATAGAAAATGTATCCAAGCTCACCTCGTTCCATATTCATTCACTGCTTAGGTAGTTCACGTATAAAGATTCTAGAGATTTTTCTAGATTTTTCAAAAGAAATATGGTACATGGTATGTTTCCAAAAACATGTTGCACTATTTACCTTCCATTATTGATATCTTCCTTCTAAACTCCAGGATTTACCAATCGTTAGTTTGTATACTCTATTCTCATTAAAATACCCTTTTTCATTTACCATCAACAGCTGTGCTCCTGTACCGCATCTGCCGATGCTTCAGACGCATCTATGTCAAGTTGCTGCACGCCATCTTCCACGCCTTGGCGTTCCCTTGCATCGTCATCGGATTCCTGGCTGTACTGGACTACCACAACAAGAAAGGCATCAACAACTTCTACTCGCTACACAGCTGGATCGGCTTCGTCGCCATGGGACTGTTTGGAATACAGGTGATTTTTCTTTGAATTGTTTTTGAAACTGACAATTAGTAGAAGATTTATTTTTGATGTTAGAGCTTATAAAGAAAGATAAATAAATAAATAATTAACTAAAATCTGATATTTGAAACGTATGACCAAGTTACTACCAAAACTATTTTGAAACGAAACTTTGTATTATAAATTCTGGAGATTTTAACAAAACCTGAAAATTCTCCCGAAGGACCATCACCTTGCTGAGGTAAAGTTCCACTGTGGTTGTTCCAAGCTTACTTATAATAACTTACAAAGCTTGTGTTTATTATTTAAACACGCTAATCGCTGGATCCAGTGAAACGGATTTCCCTGATATTTTATAGCCTGTTTCTTGAGAAAAGCTTTCTAATATCTTATAGCAAGCAAGGAAAGAGTTTGTGGAGTAACATATTACGACGCATTACTTAACTCGCGAAATAGCTTCCTAGTCGAATGTGGCTACGAGATTGGAAGTTGACATCATCGAGTTTAGTTGGCTAAACGAGCTTGAAGATAATACTAAGTGATGCAGAGCGGTAGATAAGCAACTGCCTCGTTATTGCCGACGGGTGCGATAAGCTAACTGCAGATCACATGTCTGCTTCAAAATTTAGAAAGCTGTTACGTCATCTGCATTGAAAAGCTATAGTTTATTTTTTAAAAACAAATCACTCTGATATTTCATGACTGTGACCTTAAACTTCACGTTACACGATATTTGAAACGACAGGCCTAATAAGGACAAGTAATGACAGGCCTTTGATATTTTAGGTCCCGAATTTGATACTAGATTTAATACCGAGAATGCTGATATTGACACAGGACTGTTTAGACAAATAGTCCTTATTCAGACCCTACGTTAAATGAAACGAGATTAAGTTTCGAATGATTTGACACCGGAGGTTGGGCCGGCAACAAACTTAGATGTCAATCAACAACATTAATATTCCAAGGGGCTCCTTAATAATTACGAAATGGCATTTATTAATAAAGTTACTGTTATATCGAAACTAATTATGTTATCGGTACATGCGTTTATTTGTCATTAATTACGAATAGGGATATTAAGCTACTAATTAATAATAATGTATCCATCTGCAGAGTATGTACGACCGTGAAGTGCAAATTATAGTCGTCCTAATAACATTCGAACGAAACGAAAAATTATAGAATTTTCTTTAAAGTTTTATGAATATGTTTTCCACAGTACGCTGTCGGCTTCTTCAGCTTCCTGCTGTTGTTGATCTGTAATAAGGGAACTGCTGGCTTCCGTGCCTCCCTGGTACCCATCCACGCAGCCTTCGGAATCCTCACCTTCGTACTTGGCGTCTGCGCTTGCCTCACTGGACTTACTGAGAAGGCTCTTTTCAGCATCGGGTATGTAAAACTTCAGTTAAAAGAAAGAAAACTTCGGTATGGTTTTTTGCCATTGTCTTAATTTTGGCACTGTAGAAGAGCAATTTTGGAATACCTGTGAACTTTCAGTTGATTTAATTCGCTGGAAAAAGACTTGTAGAGGTTTTTTTGTTACTTGAAAAATAGTTCGTTTCTGGTTAAAATGACTTTCACCCTTTCAACCACATCATTGCGCTGCACTATCAGTTTGTGTATGTACGCTGCACGTAAGCTCTATGTTAGCATGTTAGTTCTTGTCTTTTGTCTGTCTGTGTTGTGTGAGTTGCTTGTAAGTGTCCGTATCCACAGCGTGGAGAGGTACAGCGGGATGGTCGACGAAGGAATTATCATCAACGCCATTGGAGTCGCCTGCATCGCCATTTTGGCAGTCGTCATGTATATCTTGTCGAGGAACAAGTTCCGCACACCAGAGTCCCGCGGACAACACATAAGGGCCTCAGTAGACCTCTAGATTCCTTCCCATATTTAACAAAACTCCGATGTCAGAGCCAATCGTCAATTAGTCTAAGTAATAAATGCGATTTTATTGTTAATTCTAGACATGTAAAGAAACTTATTTAATGTTATTTTATTTCGAACATTGGCTCTGATATCCGAGTTTCAAGTTTAAATTAGGTAACAAAAATTATTATGAATATTATAGATAAATTTTGCAACTTGCATTTTACAATATTTCTGATAAACATGTACATAAGGGCAACTGGCTGATGATATAAAAAAAAATGAAAAGAATTTTGTCAATTGCCTTATTCATTATTTTCCGTACCTAATTATAGACATAGGTACTAAACTAAATAAAGTATACAAATAACAAAGTTTTTAACAGTTTACACAAAACATAATATTATAAACGAGGCTTTATTGTATCAGCTTTGATCTGTATCAGATCAAAATAACTTAGGCATTAGCTTAGGAAATGTAGAAATAAAATAAATTAGGACAAATAAATGACTTGGTATATTAAGAAACAACACTGTATTTTTGTTGCATTAAAATAAACGTAAGTATTAATTGACTTTTAATTCCTTGTATCTTCATATACCTTTTTTTAATATTGCACTTTTGAAATGTCTATTATTGATGGTATGGCTCTTACTCGATCATGCTTAAAGCCTTTACGCTAACTAAGTAGCCAATGATGATATTAGAGTCGCGTTAGGCAACAGGCTCACCCCCTATTACATGGGACTGATAACATAAATACTGAAAAGTATTTGTTACATTGTACAGTGGCATTAAGTGCTGTAATGTGCACCTCGGCCTACCCCTTCGGGGATAAAAGGGGTGATGTTATGTTATTGCCAAAGTTAAGTTATTGGTCAGTAAAAGTGTGCCTTTGTATAATGAACTGAAAGGAGTTTAAGAGTTTACTTCCCACTCACGCCATCTCGTGAAACAAAATAAGAATTAATAAATTCAACGTTATCAGAGTTTTGATCTAATTGCATCTAAATTATATAGATTCAATCTATATAGATAAATAAAATTGGAGTGTCTGTTTGTAACATTGAAATAACCGCTTTTTACTACATGCATTTGAATATACCTACGATACACATACCAAAATAACATTCTTTTTATTTTTTGTCTGTCTGTCTGTTTGTACTGGCTAATCTCTGAAACAGCTCTACCGATTTTGACGGGACTTTACTGGCAGGTAGCTGATGTACTAAGGAGTAATAAAGGCTATTTTTATGTTGGAAAATAAAAACAAAAAAAGTTAATTATGTCCTAAAACTAATATTCTACGCGAAGTCGCGGGCAACAGCTATTTACTTATATAAATGTCCAAGACCATACCATCGATGTTCAATACTGTTCTCTCTTCGAAAACCGACTATTGAATACGCACCCAGTATATATTATGTAAGTATCGCTTTATGTGCTTTGTAATCAATGCTTTCTCATGCTTGTGGTTTTGTATTAGCACCATCATCGTTATCTATTATTATTTATTATTGTTATGTTCTTTTTATACTTGCACTTCCATATTACGTAACATAATTATGTTTTCACACACTTGTAGCAATAATGTATTATTATTACTTATTGTTCCTGCAATCTGGTGTTAATCGGTAATGGATGTTAGTGGTTCACGATTTATTAAGGATAATTCTTTTGAAAATATTTAAATATGTCCATAATTAAACTACGTATTTATGATAGTAGTCCAGTTTCCGCAATCATAATGTGTTTATCTACAATTAAACACGCTTTCAGTAGTGTAAATTTAATTGATATTTAATTTTATCGTACTAATCGTTGCAATGTTACTAATTTTGTTGAACTTATAAGTTGCAACTTATACATTAGTGATTTTTTTAAATAAGACGGTTAAATATGTGTCTATTTGGTATCTACCATCCTATCATAATACTTAGGTCATGCGAAAAGCTAATCTGTAAATTTTTGCTATTTAAAAATGAACCTTTATGACTGCTACAACCAATGATTCCTGCAGCGAATCACGATGCAAGACTTTCATTTAATTTGTATTGTATCTTTACTAAAAGCCTGGTTCTTAATGAAAAAGTATCATTGCCTATCATTACATTTCAGCTCGAATCGAAAACGATTTTCCTTATCGAAGTCCATCTTTTCACATTATTACATACTTACATATAAGTTAGTTTAGTTCGTTTATGTGAGCTAGATTTTCATAAATCATCTGTTACTGTTTGCTCAACTATCTATCTACGAGCTAATCTATCGTATTTTAGTTGGCGGTGGACGTTCGGTTTGAGAACCAGGCCTTAGCAATTTTTTATCTTATGTAACTTTAATGCCTTATATACTAACCTGGGGCATGCGGTGTACAGGAGCGAAGTATATGCGACGCTCAACAACGAGTCCATCGTGGTCAACGCCATCGGGATGTCGGTGGTGGCCGTGGCCATCCTGGTGCTGTACACAGTCCGCGGCACTGGTGGCTACCGTCTCCGCAAGGTCGCCGCGCAACACCCTAGCTAAACACCTGGGACAACCGCCGTAGACATAATCCACAGCAGTTTGGTGACAAATTCTTAGGAAAACTTGATGAGTGTGGTCAATTTGGTAGAAATAATTTATAGTATTATGTTTTTGTAAGCAATATTATCAAAAATATTCTAGTCTCATATGAGGAATGTTTATGTATGATGGTATCTGGTAGTAGCAATAAATATAAAACGTCGTGGCCAAAATAGGGATAAATTATAGCAATAAACGTCTAGCTACCAATTAAACTGTCATTAGCATGTTTGTTTATCCGAATAGGCAAGTTAGAAATTCCCAAAACCACTTGCAATTCATCACACTCGTCAAATTTTCATGGATAGTTAAATAATTTCAGGGTCGTTTCTGTAAAGATTTGACACATCAATTTAGTTTGTCGCATGTAGCGTTGCCATCAAGATAACAAAACTATGTTTTAAGAATTGCCTGTTGTGAAAAGCGGAACATCTTTGTGGATTGAGATTATAAGAAAAATTTGTCACCAAACAATTTTCTACCATTTTTAATCAGTTTGTACGTTCGTTTTTATGCTCGACGCGAAAGAACACCATGACTATGGATTAGTATTATATCTTAAGCATAAAATCGAATAATAAAATAATTCTTCCAATTTTCCTTAAGTATTATATAGAAAATTTTGCGCAATAAAAGACAAATACCTACATGTATTTATTCTCAGACACGCTCCTAATGTGTTTTGTGAAGTTTATATTCGATGAATTGAAATAAAGAATGTAATTATTTAGCTCAATTTGTTAACTTTAGGTTTACAAATTCTATTGTGGTATCATTATTTATGATTATTCTTGGGGTTGTGCGTTGTTCCATTTTTTAAATCTTTAGATAAAAATATGGGTGAGTTGATTCCGTCTTAGTCAATATTAATTCGACTGATATTGGAACTGTAGTGTTTATTTTTTCGTTCGTTTCTTTGCAAATAAACAACGTTTTGTAAGTACCTAGCTACTGTACGCTAATAAACAAAGCAGTAGACGAACATTAGTATCTAATAAAGGCAATGGGTGTGGAGAATTAAGGTGAAGCATCGAATAAGTGGGAGATAGGTTCGTTTTCATTTTCAACTACGTACGTACTCGCTGTTCTGTGAAGTAATATTATTAGCGATTAGCGTTAGGACATTGCCGTGTAAGCTAAGTAAGGAACGAAACCGAGTGTGTAACGGATTGTCTAAACATAATCAGTACCAAACAATGTACCCATAATATAATCTATTGTTTTCAAACGAAGTCAGAGGCCATACACATGATACACTTTGTTGGTATCAAACAAACCTGCGTAGGGTTGTTTAGTTAAGGTATATTAGTTGTAACTTGTATATAAATTTTAATCTAATTTAATGTAATGTGCGAGTGTTCGATAGTTGTAGAATGTGATGGAGTAGTAGCAAAATACCATTTGAATATTTATTATGATCAGTATCAACATAACTACCTATGTATTACAATATATACATATTTAAAATTTTAATAGATTGGCGTAGCGCTGACTGTAGTGTAGTTTTTATTAGAACAACTGAAACATCTTTGTATAACATTTCTAATAAAAACTGCGAAGTTTCAATGATAATCTGGACACCGTAACATGAACATGTATGATGATAGATTGTGTAAGACAAGTGTTCATTCAAGTTGCCAAATTCGATGTAAAGTCAAGTGGTCATATGTTTGTTATAATCAATTAATTACTGCGTATTACAAGTAGCATGTTTATCAATAATTGTAGGATAACGCTCAACGTGTTAATTTTATACGAGGGGTACCGACGCGTTCGTTTCATTTAAATTTATATAATAAAATGTATAATGTAAGAATTCAATTTTATAAAATTGCATTCCATGTAAGCATTCGATGTCTATAAACGTTCTTTGATGGATATACAACAGTACTAAGACTGCATAAGTAGGTCTTTTTGTATTCAATTACAGGATTTGCTATAATTTTTGCAAATGATATTTACAAATTAAAATAATTCTAGTTTTTGTGGATCCCTTTCAAATGCTGGGGCCAAGTTTTTATATCATTATATGGACCCTAACTGTACAGAGCAGCCAATGTATTTTGACCCGTCTGAAATTAGGTACGATACAGATGGAAGAAGATGCTGCGAAGCAAAAGTAATAGCGTGTGAAAGAGACAGCGATACGCTTGTAGCGCACTTCAGTCGGGTCAAGTTATATTGTTTGTGTGTACTATTGAGGCAGATTTTGTTACAGTTTACTTAGCGACAAAGTTTATTATCAATTTACATTGAACACAAACGAGTCCGATGCTTTGATTTATTTGAAAAATGCACTATGAGATTTAAATATGGTACCTGCTTATTAATGTTATACCTAGGTAAGGATATTGTAACAATAAATGATTTCCCGTTGTATCCATATGTTGCGAGTGTTAGATAAGTTCCATAATTACTATTTCAATTGTAATTAATTTTTGAATATTGAAATATAATTTCGCATACTTAGTTACTACGTTGATTACAAGTTATATTGGTTAAAATATGAATTTTATCACTGTTTTACATTTTGAAATATTTATACGGCATTCATAAGGTACATTAAATACTTGTAATAATTATTATGAGTTGTTTTATTTGTTTATTCTTAAATCCCTAACTTTAATAAATTAAAAATAGACTGTCTCTTTGTCCCAGTGTTCGCAAGTGCGACTGCCGGGGTAGGTTAGGGGTCTCGGGTTCGATTCCCCGGTCGGGCAAAGATATACACGGAGTTTGGAACTGTGTCCGGTATATGGGAACAGGCTCACCCCCTATTACATGGGACTCATAACATAAATAGTGAAAAGTGGGTGTTACACTGTACAGTGGCATTAAGTGCCGTAAAGTGCAGCCCTTTAAGGAGTGATGTTATGTTATTGATTCATGAAGTCTATACCTATACAGAGGGTGTAAAGAATGCAGTTAAAAAATAAACGCTATATACGATTGAACATCATTTATTTATGTATATTGACAACCTTCCTTCTAAATATTAATAATAAAGAGCATTCAATAAGAATAAATACTTATCATATAATAATTTGCGCAAAGAAGCTAATGAGATAACATCATGATACATAGTTTTTATTACATAAGACATAGAGTTCATTTTTGTTCAACTGACTAGACCGCACATTGTTGCAACCTAATTAAAATCTTTAGCTGCCATGGATTTTTCGCTCAGGTAACACAGCATCGATGTTGCCAAGTTATTGATAGATGTAACAATAAATTTTAACAGACATTTACGATCTTTGTACATATTATTTAGAAGTAAAAACTTGTGAATGTAAACTTTTTATATGTTTAAATGCAAATCACAACAATGTACCAAATGAAAAAAGGCCTATCTAAATAATACGTACAACTTATGGCAACACCGTTTTTTCTGAAACAACTTCTAAATTTAGATCGAATATTAATATAATAAAAGTACAATAAATTTGGCTTTAAATTGAGCTATATAAAACAAAATAATTAAGCTCATAATAAATATTTTTAGATACTAAATTTAATTTAGGCCAACACCATTAAATAGAATCGAAGTGTAATTCATAACTTTCCAATAGAAATAGACAATATGAACGTTTATAACATTTTCAATCGAATTGTATGACAATAGAGTATATTTTTGATTAATGTAGGTATAATATAAATACGTATCTTGTTAAATGAATATTTTGTGATTTAATCATGCACATTTATAATGATTTACGTAATATTATTTTCTATATTTTACGGACACCCTGAAATGTTGGTCGATGATGAAATTTGTTTAACAAGAGTTATACTACAATTATAATTTTCATAATAATACATTTTTTTATAGTAGACGGTGAAATAATTTGTATTCTTGAGTATTATAATGTATAGTCAAAGAAACTACTTTTTATTTAAATAGTTCACACAATGCCTATGTAGATGGCGCTGGATTACAATATTTTATAATCTGTGTGACATGCGTTTACGAAGACAGTGACGCATTTATGTTATCTTTTGTTTATATACTCAGCCGTCTATTTAGTATACAGAATTTCTTATTTTATATTAGAAGAACAATAGTACTGGGTAACAGAGAATTAGATTATTTAGAATGCTTATTTTTTACTATATATCAGTTTAATTTCATACTCGATCGCTGACTAGAAAAATATTGCTCTATTTTATAAGTACTAACGCATTTTTAAGAGTATTTGTCTAATTTTATGTATATTTAGGCCTGATTTTGTTTAATACGTCTAGCGGTGGAAAATAAATGAATAAGGGCCGGTTTTTCGATCAACAGATAATTCTTAACTGTACAATAAAATTGACATTAGAACACATGGAAGAATTGTCAAATTTTCAAAATTATTGCTCCGATAATGAAAGAGTCAGCCCTTAATTATGAATTGCATTAAATTGTCACGAATCTCTTTAACAACGCAATTAATAAGGATACATAATATAAATACTAAATACTTAAACAGTTCCATAAACATAATACCACAATTATTTGATATACTTACTTAAATATTACGATATACAAAACGCAGTCACACTTAGCTAGTTAACACAATGGGGCATACATTACAAAAGCATTGGCACAGAGTATAATAATCGAAATAAATCAATTATTTAAATAATATCATTTATGACCAAAGATAGTGTGATAATGGAAATATATATATCCGTATATGCCCAAGTGGTCAGCGGTGACCGATCTGGCGCTCTCCACTAACTACATTATACACCTTATTTCCAATGTTTAGAGACTACTTTTGTATGAACAAATTTAGGGGATGATTTTCAACAATTAGCAACAGGTTAAGCGATTTACCTGAATTCAAACCGCAATACCCACTAGTTTAATTTATTCTTTTATGGCATAGAGGATGATAAGCAATCTGCACCGCCCATGGACAATATCAGAGCATATACAAGTAAGGGCATTGCTGGCCTTTAGGAAAAGAGATTTTGATTCTATGGGAGGCGCTGACATACAACTTTATATTTAATGTGAGTACCAAATATAAATGGCGACAATATCACCCCACAAGCAATTCTAGAATATTTGACTAACAGTCAAGTTAATGCCCCACTCATCCCATTACCCCACTATCTTTAGTTGCTCGAAATCTAGCTACAAACAAATACAAAATATAACTAGACATAGGAATACTTCCACCGAGTCCCTATTGTAATTCTCGATTGATTAGGCCAAATGTTCAATGTATAAATGCATTGAAGCCCTGCAGACGGTAAGACATTGACAGACAGCAAGCAAACAAGCAATATACGTCATGCAAGAATGTGTAAGAGCTTATTGAAAAACTAAATATTGGCCATCTATTGACTGCGTCATCTTGCAAACCACCCTACTAAGAGTATATATGCTTGTGTTACTGTAGTGGTAATTGTTGAAATAAATTAGATTCGTCTGCAAAGGCTTTTATCCAAGATGTCCTATAACAACATCATATTGAGGTAAACTATTTTAAATTCAGTAAAATAAATAGACAATTTCATAAAAAGAAACCTTGATTTTAATAATGCCTAAATCAAAGAGGCAATTGTTTAAAAATCAATAAATGCACGTCGATTTGATTTTTAAGCTAAAATAAAGTTTTCGTTCGCTACAATAGGGATGATGACAGGGTATAAAAATTAAAATCTAATTTGTCCGCTAGTTAGGTAATGAAAAAATATTAGACACGTATTTTTTTATTTTGTTGTACAATAAAATGATACTAAGATATAACGAATCAAAGTTTAGGAGTGGGGGCTAAAACGTCATTTCTACGTATAAAATGTACATAGAAGTGACGTCACGCGACATTTCAAATCAATATATCGTCGAAAGTATTTGTTTCTGTAAAAAAATAAAAAATACGTGTGTAATGTTATCAGAGGGACATTAAAATAAAAATTAGTCACCTACCCTATTGTCTGTCTATGGTAATTACGGTATTTTCCCTCTTTGTGTTGCATTATAGGACACCCTGTATACGAGGTATGTTAAATAAATATATGGATCGGACTTACTGTTAAAGCATTACTAATTGACTGCATGAGCGTACTGCTATTAGGAATCCTGATATCTTTGGTGAAAAACATACCTAATAAAAGTAAATTTTAAACTTGCGTGCAATGTTGATGATGATTTCTGTGACTTTGTCTCATAGAGGTCGCGAATTTATTTTGTGTTCCTCACTTATTGCTTATTCGAAACGCTTTTTTTGTATCTTTTTAAAAATAAAATCCTTATGTTCCTATGTTAATAAAATGTAACTTAAAACATTAATGTGGCGTAAAATAATGTGTAAATGCAGTGTAAATACTGTTTTTTTTTTAATATGAGACGAACTAGGTTTTAGTATATTAATTAATTTAGTGATTTCGTTTAAATCTAAGACAGTAATCTCAGAAGAATATTTGACTTATACTTAGTGATAGAATTCAATGAGTACTTTTAAAGATTTGTAAAATTATTTCTATTATCTATTGCATTGTTTCGTCCTGTGCAAATACAAGTTGCCATGCAAATTATATTCTAATTGTGCAACATTATAACTACAATAATAAGGATACATTCTGCAAAGCAAGTTCACAATTCCCTAAACAATATTCACGTGAACATTATTACGTATATTAATTGCATTTTTTGATACTATACGACATCATATTTCTTAAAAGTTCTTAAAGAAGGAATGATTCATTTTTTGTTTAATTAATCTTATAAAGATAATGTCATTAGCTGTTGAACTAGGAATATGTTTTAGGCGCACATCGTTACCAAAGACAATCTAAATTATTTGTAATTTTTCACTTATAACATGCAACCTTTAACAACACTAAACATCATATCATAAACGACAAGCTAATATGAATCGTAAGTTCGATACCATAGAATTCAATTTCGTCAAATCTCCTCTACCAATAGCACAGCCAAACCAAGCGTCTCCCAACGATAATCTGAACACAGTTTTTTAATCGAGATTCCATTTTCAAAAAGATTGCCAGACCAGTAACATTAATAATAATAAAAAGAAACAACTACATTCTTATTTTAAAAATTGACCACAGACAAAGTATTGCTTAAATAGATTGATTTAAAAAAGAGGTTTATAACTTATTTGAATTCGAAGTTTCTCGAATGCATCCACTGGGGATCTGACAATCTGTACCCATCAAAGCCAAGTATTACCTTCAGGTCTTAAGGTTTGAAGTACTGAGGGAACTCGTTGGAAATGGCTCTGACGAGAGCCTGGTCTTCACGGCTGCACTCTCCCTCCTCGCAGAAGATACGCGCGAAGCATCGAAGGAGGTCATCACGACGGTGCACGTGCGCTCCATACTCTGTGTTGCGGATTATACCTTGAAGGATTCGTAGGTATTGCTGGCGTCGCTGTGAAAGGAATTTGATTTTGTGTAAGTATTACGATATTACCACAATTTTGTTTCACGGTAGCAAATAAAACTACAGAGAATAAACCTAAAGACTTTTCCATACATTAAAAATAATTTCTTTAGCTTCCATGAGATGTACCAGAAGGTTCAGTACGAGTTCATTTTATGTTTAAAGTAATCGAAACAAGTACGCGTCGGCTCTGATTAGCCGGCTTCATGCTCTGGTGTTGCGGGTGTCCATGGGCGGCGCTGATCGCTTACCATCAGGTGATGATTCGTCTGCTCGTTTGCCTCCTATTCTATAAAAAATAACGATGAATAAGAGCGGTAAACGCGGCCTCTGGTCATCAGAAGTCTAGTAAGTTAAAGTCAAAATCAAAATAATTTTTTGTATATTCCACGACGGTGGCAAAAAAGCACACGGCCCACCTGATGGGAAGCGGTTACCGTGGCCTACGTACGCCTGCAACACTTGGGACATGAAGAAAGGTTGGACACTTAATAATTTAATCTATGGTACTTTTTGTCTCGTCGTCTCTTGTGTTCTGTCATCCGTTATTGTAATTGTTTAAAGTAATATATTTTTATTAAATTTATTCTCCAAATTGGCCTACATTTCATTCAACATTTATTTAGGGCATTTATTTCAATTAGACCATAAAGGCACGTCGTTAATTGTCAATAATTGTTGTTATCAATTGACGTTTTTAACGTCAACAAAAAAATTAAAAGTGAAACCATTTGCTCATTCCAAGGTGTAGATTCTTATGGAGAAGAACGAGCAAGAAACTCCATAGGTTACTCTTTTTCAATCAGGTTCACAGTACAATTCTCTAGTTACATCGTTTTTTTGATAAGGTCATGTTACTCACCAAGTCTCCTGGAGAGAGGTCCGCTAGCTGCCTCACAATGATATCAATGGCAACCTTCACGTCATTCGTATAGAAGTGTTCAGCAGTCTTCTTACGACTGAACACGTCAATCATCAATTTTAATACAGAGTGCGCGGGCGCCGGTTCGTGATCGAAAATGTGGACTGGATCCTCTGCAATAATCAATGCAGTCGATAAAAATGGAATCGAGACAAGGAAGTTGATTGGAGGTTTAAATAAATTTCTGACAGCTGCTTTTGGTTTTATTGTTTTAATAATAATTGTTGTTATCAACCACACTATTTGCGGCTCTCATAAAATAAATATTAAAGTCGCATGCCACAACAAATGTGTCATAAATACATATACTCATTATAAAACAAATCGTAAAAAGAAAATCTTCTGTCATACCTTCACGGTTAAGCAGCAAAAGAGCTTTCTCACAGAATGTCTTTGCTATTTCTCTGGTCTCCAGGGCATTGAGGAGGAGGTTATCGAACGACTCTTCAAACTGCAGGTTGTAAGCAAGTACCAGTGTGAGGAACAAGTCAGGAATCTGTTCATCCACATCTGTCTCCGGAGGATTCTCTATCAACTCCAGTAGGAAGAGAGCGAAGTCTACGCCCAGTTGTTCTGAAATAATATCAAGTAGTTAAAAACATAATTTTTCTTGCTTAAATTCTCTTCGATAAAAATATTAGAGACTGGATTAGTTACGTGTCCATTTTCTTAGTACGCAAACCAATGGTTTTCATTATTAACTCGTCGAGTACCGTCATTATAGACACAATTATAGAACAATAGGTTGCGGTCACCGGTGATCGCTTGGTGTTTGACAGTTTAAAGATAGTGAGTCTTTTTCTACGTAGGGATCGATTTATCGGTTACATTTGTTATCAAGTATTAAGCCGTAAACACAACTAAACATCAAGTGACGAAGTACTACATTGTAATAAGAGTGCTTAATGGAGATAAAATGTATTTCTTTGTATTGCATTATTTTCCCTAATATGTTTCACTTAAATTAATGGATTCCGTATACTTACACAGCTGTTTACAATAATTCATTTCATTTAACGAGAGTCCTCGACTACTTTCAAGCAATGCCAGAGCCTCTAATTGATACGTAAGCTTCTAAATTTCTCAGACACTTACCAAAATGTGTGATAGGCAGTTTGTCCCCCATGGATAGTACCATGGACAATAGCAGTGCAGAATGCGAGAGACGGCTGACCGCACGAGGGTTGTCTCTCATGTCTCGTGCTATCTCCGCCGGTAGGGCTGACAGAGCTAGGGTCGCGAGCGCCGTGCGTTCTAAGCCACACATTACACCAAATGCCTGAAAGTTATTCCATGATTCATATAGCAAGGATACAAATTGTTGATGACATGTGTTCATGAATAGTTTGCTCGGGGACTTGAAGTTGAACAAGAACGATAGAGGTACAGACTTTCCATAAAATACTAAATGAGCTGAGAACTCATAGTGTGAGAATGTTGTTCAACTTCATGATTCTGATTCATTGATCTCTGCTTGATTTATAAAGGCTTCGATAGGACTGACAAACTGACATATGCTGTGCGGTAAAAATCACTAAAATTTGAAAGGAAATAAAAAAAGTATACAAACTGGTAATTAACATTTAGAATAGTTTTATAAACAAGTTATAAATAAAACTATTATACATACATAACAT